TTTACCCCTTTCCCCTCTCCCTCCCTTCCCCAGCCTGAGGGGTCTTGAGGTGACAGCGACTGCAATTGCGACTCCAGCAGGAGGAGGAGAAGATGGATAAGGGGAAGGCTGGGAGACGGCGGTCTTCATCCGGTGAGAAAGGGACGGAGGAGGGCTCGAGCATATTGTCTTCTACCGTGGGCAAACGGGAGGCACCGGCGGCGACGGGCGCTGCGGCCCCGGGCTGTGAGGGCTTGGGCTCGGGCCGAGAGAGGAGGGCCGCGCACAATGGGAGACTTTGGGGCCGCCCCGCCTCTGCGAATTCAAGACCGGGTCCGAGCTGTCATCGAAGCCGCGGCCGCTCTTCACACAAACGCCCCTTTCATTTTTTCCCTCCCGCGAACACCCTGCTTGCGTCTCTTCGGCCCAGGGATCTTCCCGGTTGGCTTGCCGCTCTCCTGCCACGCCTTCCTCGTAATTCCACCAATGTCCCGTTTCATTTCCATCTTCTCAGCTTCGGACCCCACTTTCCTCTCTTCCGTTGATTCTCGAATTCTGGACTTTGTCTTTCTCACCCCCCTTACCTCCCTCCAGGTAGAAGCGGCTGCAAAGAAGAAAAGGCGGGGCTTCCTAATTGACACTTCATTCCTCAGATAAATGCTGCAGCGTGTTTCGTTCTAAACAGGCCTGCTTACAACCCTTTTTCTTTTCCAGCCTCTTGCTTCTTCCAAAAGTAATGAAAAAGTCGAACAAAGGATTTGAATCCGTGCTTTCCTTGTGTCTTTAATCTCAGCATATTTTTGCTTTTTGAAACTTGCTTTAAATGATTGTCCTCAGTTTTGGGTACTACCTCTTGGAAACACAAAAATGGAATTAGAAGACATGAGGTCCCGATGAACCATTTGTTTTGACTTTCTCATTTCTTACTGTACCATTTATTTTTGCAGGGACAGTCTTAACAATTCCAAATTCATTTAGAAGTGTCCTGTGGCAGTGCATCTCAAACTTTTTTCTGCCTTAATGGCAAAGGAAAGTGAACACATATCTCCGGGAGATTGCTTCAAGCAGTTGAAAACCTGAAATCCCTTTTTATAAGCCGTGTTATCATTTGTGTGAGTGTATGTGTATTCTACAGCTAATTTCTTTTTGCCTTTGAAAGTATATGAATGGATTACATGTATGTATATGCCTCTAATAGATCAGTGTTTGTTTAATATACTTTTTTTCTACCCTAAACCTTCAAGTAAAATTTACGCACTAGGAAAATGCATAATGTTTTTCTGGTGTCATGTACCTGCTTCCTAACACAGAACTAAAGTGGTTATAATACCTCAGTTTGAGATGTGCAGGCTTTTTTCAATAAATGCGTTTCATCCTAGCTTAGTACATTTTTTGGGGGGGAGGGGCAAATTAACCTTGTCCTTCAGCAAATCCCATCTCCTTTTACTTCGTTACATTTAGATTTATTTGTTTATTACAGTTAATTTGATGGAAGTAGTGTGGAAAGTAAATTTTGTGAATAAAGCTGCTAATTCTTACGAGACACTGATATTTTTTGTGTTAGTTATCCCTCTGGAGAGGATTTTTCTATTTCTTTTCTGATGACTTCGCTTTTGGAGCCGTCCTTACTGAAAAGTAATCATTTTTAACATATAACAGAAACCATCTTCAAATCTAATATTTCTAGCTGTTTTCCAGTATTCATCTGGTTTTAAGAGATGAGTGTTAGTTTTTAAAATCTGTTCTTCTCTTAGTAGTGTATTTAATTTTCCCCACATAAATTCTCAGAAATAAATGATTAGTTGGTTTAAAGTTATTCTGGATTCTCTGTGACATTTATATACACGCAGTTGCAATTTCATTAGGAGTGGTTGCTAGCTGAACTAAATGAACGAGACATTTAAAGTCATCAGGATTTTATAAGTACCCAGGGAGAGGAATTTGATTAATAAAATAGGAAGAATTCTAATAGGTAGAAGGAAGGTGAATAGCAGTAAACAAGACCCTAAGTTTCAAAGTTTCCTTTTGTGAGATAGCACTAGGTTTCCCTAAACTTTCTCTTAAACAAGGCAGAACTCTGAAGGGTTGCATAGTATATTGCTAGAACTCTTTCAGTTGTAAATAGCAGAAACACAATTCCAGCTGGTTTAAGCTAAACACAAAACAAGTATTTATGGACTCACATAACTGATAACTGTAGGAGAGGGATGGCTTGCAGTGTGGCTATATTTGTGTTAGGCACTAGTTCTTAAGGTGTGGTCTGGGAACCTCAGGGTTCCCAGAGAACATTTTGGGTCTGTGAAGTCAAAACTATTTTCATCGTAATTTAAAGAAATTTTTTACCTTTTCCTTTTATTCTCCCATGTGTGCAGTAGAGTTTTCCAGAGGCTACATGACATACCACAATAAATTGAATGCAGAAGCAGATGAGAGAAATCAGCTGTTTTTTGGTTAAAGCAGACATTAGAGATTTGCAAATATATAAAATTATGCCATTTGTAGTAGTTTTTGAAAATGCAGTTATTTTTCCTAAACTTTAGCTATGTTAACATGGAATGCATTTGTTGTTCTTGAATGAATTAATGAGTATTTTAAAATTAAAGAAAAATTCCCTAGAAGAACCGCAAAAACTGTGATTACTGTTATGGAATGTGGCTTGAATTAGGGATTAAGCACAAAACACCTGAGCAGTGAGATGAGCAATCACAAAATCTGTAATGCTAAAGTTCACTTATGAGAAGTGTCTCAGGCTTTTCTTCAGAATATATTGAACTTGTATTTTAAAATTATTTATAATCCCAGAAAACGTGAATATCTATTTCCAAGTTCACAGCATATCAAAATGCAGTAAATTAGATGGATCACAGATAAATTACTAGCACCAGAGAGAGGCCCACTAAACAGTTGAATGAAATAATAATTAAATGCATGAGTCATTCAAGGGAAAATGACCATTAGAAACATTTAACAACAACAAAAGTATAACATTCTAGAGTCCAGATCATGATTTTCAAATGAATTTTGAATTAAAATAGGAAAAACCTAGTAGATTTCAGGTTTTCAGCTGGTTGCTCTAAGCAGCATCCTTGGGGATCTTTGTTCACTCTAATTTGAGTTCAGTATGCATATGTGTTTCGAGTACTTAGGTACTAAGCATGAGCTAAGAATTTTACAGAATTTCTTTCAAAAACCTTAGGAGGTGGTGGTTATTCTGTTTTACAAATGCAGAAACTGGGCATTAAGGAGGGTAAAAACTGTTAGCAAGTAAGTAGAGTGAGCTTGCAAAATCTTGTCTTTCTGATTACAAACTATATAATTTTAACCTCTTTTACAGGTTGTTAGTGTCACAGGATGTTAGTGCGCCTTTTTTTTTGGAAAAACTGAAAGTTCCATGGACAAATAAGTTTGATAATTGTAATTATAAGAAAATTTTATTACTGCAGGATTTTCAGGGCCATTGCATCCTTGTACATTGTGCTTCTCCAAGAGAGTGAGTGAGCATGCAGTTTCTCAAACTTGCTTGAATTTGAAACTCTTTCCTTCTTCCCCCAGTTTCATTTTGAGGATCTAGGGCCCCAGATGATATACCCTTCTTTTTTCATTAGGCCCTGGTGATGTTTGCATATTTTGCATTTTAAGTGGAATGAACCATACTTAATGTTCAGAACCAGAATCTGCAACTAATCATGATAAAAGTACGTTATTTGCAGAGATGTTTTCTGAAGACTTTGGAATTAATAGAGCTGCCACAAAAATTATAGAATGACCAAAGTTTTGAATCATGTACATTCAAAGTAGGGAGGATGAGACATTGGTAAGCACTTAGAGAGGCAGAAGGAAAAGAATAGCTTTGGAAAGCAAAGGAGGAGAATGAAAAGCAATGTACATCAGCAGGTTAAAGTAGTCTGAGGGTGCTGCTGTATTTGGTAAAAAGAGATCACTTTTACCATTGATTTTACTAGAGTGGTAGGAACAAAAGCCAGATTTTAAGAGGCTAAATGAATAAGTAGTGGTGAGGAAACGGAAAATGAGGTGTGAAAGAAAGGAGATTGGTGGAACAAGTTTGAGTAGGAAATTAGGTAGAAACCCAGTGTTTTTTTAAGACCATAACAGACTTAAATCAAGTTAATAGGGAGAGGGAAAAGGGGTCAGTGGAGAAAGATACTGGGTAGGAGAGAATTGATAGGGTGCTGTCCCAGAAGAAATGGCAGGGAGGATGGAATCAAAGTACGGTTCATTGAGACATGCAGGAAAGAGGAAAGATGGATAAAAATAGACAAATTTTGATAAGTTGAGGATATTGCAATAGTGCTTTTAAGTTAAATAGGCAAGATAAGAAACAGGTACTTTCAGGTGGTTTGGGGAGCTCAAAATAGAATAGGTGGCCAATTAGGGAATAATAAAATAACTATTAAGTAATTTAAAAAGTTTTTGTTAAAACAGGTGTATTTGTATTAGTAGTAGTTTCAGTTAGTACAATTATGTGACTTTCTTCAACAGTGCTAGGCTGTCCAGGAGCAAGAATTGGAAAGAAAAAGAATTTTACCTGGGGTTAAAGAGTATGACAAGATGAAGAGATAAGAAAATGGGTTCATTGTGAATGAGGAAATGGAAAGGTGAAAGGACAGTATGTTGTAGAATGAGAGGTTCATATTTGAGAACTTGAGAAGAGCAACACTATTCCTTAAATGCACTCATGCATATATGTTCCTAAATCGGGGCTGTGTAGAAGAAGTTTGTTAGAATAAATTGAGGTGAGTCCATTGTATTGAGTGAGCTAATTCATGGAAGTTTTAGAGCTTCAGAGTGATAGTAGATTTTAATGATAGGAAAACTCTGAATCAAATATCAGAGTATTCTAGGAATGTTAGAGAGGGTCTTAGATTGTCAGTACATGGCAATCACAAATATGGGTGAGGTAATATATATAATTTATGGACATTTTAAAGGAAGAATTATTGCAATAAGGATAGAATATTAATTGGAAGTGGTAGTGGGGAAGTAGGTTGTTAATCCATACTGCTGTTTTTGTAAGTAGGAGAGAATCTTCTTGAGAGTCTTAAAAAGGTAGTGTACAGCTAAGCTAATCAAGGAAAAGATTAAGAATTTAAGGAAATTGTATTGACTGGAAAGGAATTCAGTGGGTTACGGAAGAGACAGAGCAGAATCTAGATGATAGGCCAGAGTTGAATTACTAAAGATGAGAAAATAGCAAAGGAATAGGCTCTAGGGATTGACATTTAGGGTAGTGAATGTGATTCCCAGGGCTAATGATGGAAAGCAGAGGATTGGAAAGTGGATTAAAGGGACACGGTAACACAGGGAATGGGTTATGGATAGGACTGAGTAGTTCTAATGATCCAGACTAGAACTTTATTATAATAGTGCTGTCTCAGATCTGCCTCCCAGATGGGTAACTCTGATATGAGTCTTCAGTGATTAAGGGGGCTGGCTAATGTTGGCTGCTTCATCCTAGTTTGTATATACCTATACTGATAACTCATCTCTTGGCTGCACCTGGCACTAAACTGTCCCTCCACCCATTTCTGCCCATCTAAAACTTACTCATTATCAAAAATTTACTTCAAAGCCCAGTTCAACTGTGCTTTCCTAAGAACTGTCTGATTAATGCACTTACAAAAAATTATATCTATTTCTGAACTATTATGGGTTCATAATAGTTACTATTATGGGTTTGACTCATGTTTAGAATGAGAATAGATTTTCCCACATACTAATACTGATACACTAAGGTCTCTTGATGTAAAATATTATAGTAATAGAAGTTGCCATTTATTTTGCACTAACTGTATACAGACATAATGCTAAATATTTTAATATAGACTATCTCTTTAATCTTAACAATTGAAAAACTGGATATATTCTCACCTGTTTTAGAGATGAGAAATTGAGTCTCAGAATTTACAAGTAAGCCAAGATATTAATTTAGGTCTTCTGGCTTTAAAACCTCTAGTCTTGAGTGTTACCTTATACTAGAAAATCACAAGCATGTCATATGTTTATTAAAATCCTCCAAAACCAACCTAGTTTAAGATGGAGCAACTCAATTATGAAAACTCTCCAAATTTTGGGAAGTCAAAATAGTATTAAAAAATAGGAAAACATGCTGCAAAATAGCAAAGAAGTACTTTTAAGTGAGTGAGTCAGCTTGGGAACAGTAATCCATGAATGGCAATTTAAGCAACTGATTATTCCTTTTTAAAAAATACATATTCTATGTAATTTAAAGTTAACTAGAAAATTGATACAGTTAAGATAAAGGATTTGTATTAGTAGTAGTTTCAGTTAGTACAATTATGTGACTTTCTTCAACAGTGCTAGGCTGTCCAGGAGCAAGAATTGGAAAGAAAAAGAATTTTACCTGGGGTTAAAGAGTATGACAAGATGAAGAGATAAGAAAATGGGTTCATTGTGAATGAGGAAATGGAAAGGTGAAAGGACAGTATGTTGTAGAATGAGAGGTTCATATTTGAGAACTTGAGAAGAGCAACACTATTCCTTAAATGCACTCATGCATATATGTTCCTAAATCGGGGCTGTGTAGAAGAAGTTTGTTAGAATAAATTGAGGTGAGTCCATTGTATTGAGTGAGCTAATTCATGGAAGTTTTAGAGCTTCAGAGTGATAGTAGATTTTAATGATAGGAAAACTCTGAATCAAATATCAGAGTATTCTAGGAATGTTAGAGAGGGTCTTAGATTGTCAGTACATGGCAATCACAAATATGGGTGAGGTAATATATATAATTTATGGACATTTTAAAGGAAGAATTATTGCAATAAGGATAGAATATTAATTGGAAGTGGTAGTGGGGAAGTAGGTTGTTAATCCATACTGCTGTTTTTGTAAGTAGGAGAGAATCTTCTTGAGAGTCTTAAAAAGGTAGTGTACAGCTAAGCTAATCAAGGAAAAGATTAAGAATTTAAGGAAATTGTATTGACTGGAAAGGAATTCAGTGGGTTACGGAAGAGACAGAGCAGAATCTAGATGATAGGCCAGAGCTGAATTACTAAAGATGAGAAAATAGCAAAGGAATAGGCTCTAGGGATTGACATTTAGGGTAGTGAATGTGATTCCCAGGGCTAATGATGGAAAGCAGAGGATTGGAAAGTGGATTAAAGGGACACGGTAACACAGGGAATGGGTTATGGATACGACTGAGTAGTTCTAATGATCCAGACTAGAACTTTATTATAATAGTGCTGTCTCAGATCTGCCTCCCAGATGGGTAACTCTGATATGAGTCTTCAGTGATTAAGGGGGCTGGCTAATGTTGGCTGCTTCATCCTAGTTTGTATATACCTATACTGATAACTCATCTCTTGGCTGCACCTGGCACTAAACTGTCCCTCCACCCATTTCTGCCCATCTAAAACTTACTCATTATCAAAAATTTACTTCAAAGCCCAGTTCAACTGTGCTTTCCTAAGAACTGTCTGATTAATGCACTTACAAAAAATTATATCTATTTCTGAACTATTATGGGTTCATAATAGTTACTATTATGGGTTTGACTCATGTTTAGAATGAGAATAGATTTTCCCACATACTAATACTGATACACTAAGGTCTCTTGATGTAAAATATTATAGTAATAGAAGTTGCCATTTATTTTGCACTAACTGTATACAGACATAATGCTAAATATTTTAATATAGACTATCTCTTTAATCTTAACAATTGAAAAACTGGATATATTCTCACCTGTTTTAGAGATGAGAAATTGAGTCTCAGAATTTACAAGTAAGCCAAGATATTAATTTAGGTCTTCTGGCTTTAAAACCTCTAGTCTTGAGTGTTACCTTATACTAGAAAATCACAAGCATGTCATATGTTTATTAAAATCCTCCAAAACCAACCTAGTTTAAGATGGAGCAACTCAATTATGAAAACTCTCCAAATTTTGGGAAGTCAAAATAGTATTAAAAAATAGGAAAACATGCTGCAAAATAGCAAAGAAGTACTTTTAAGTGAGTGAGTCAGCTTGGGAACAGTAATCCATGAATGGCAATTTAAGCAACTGATTATTCCTTTTTAAAAAATACATATTCTATGTAATTTAAAGTTAACTAGAAAATTGATACAGTTAAGATAAAGGCTTTCTTACCATTTATTTAAAAATTCTTTACTTAATTTTGGTAGTCTAAGGAATGCTTCTTGAAAATTAAAGTTACCAAAAGTTTAAGTATAGAGGTTAAAATAATTTTTACATCAGTATTTGCTTCAGGAAATGGATATAGTAAAATCAGTACTATGTATTATAAACTTAGAGAAATTATTTCAGCTACATATATACATTTTTAGGTAAGCTATAGTCCATTTATTATAATTTCTATTTTGAAAGTTTATTTTTAGGTTGAGATATTACATACACAACAGTACACATATCTTTAGTATATAGTTTTTTTATACTTGTATACGTACACCTGTGTAATCATCACTTAGATAAGATACAGAACATTTTCAGCATCTCAGAAAGCTTACTTGTGTCCCATTCCAGTCAATATACCTTCCCTCCCCAGTTACTCCGTGTCCAAGCCTTTTGCCAGTTTTGAAGATTGTGTTGTTTTGCCTTTGCTTCGTAGGAGTTCTGTATATAATCTCGTTATGAGTCCCTTGATGGATGTATTATACAGTACTTTTTATTATTGTCACCATGCTGTACATAGATTATTATAAATAATAATCTTCCAGTCTTTGGCTTACCTTCTCATTCTCTTAATTATGAAGTTTGAGGAACAGAAGTTCTTAATCTTTTCCCTTATGGTTAGTACAGTGTCTTGTTTGAGAATCTTTGCCTACCTCAAAATCATGAAGATACTCCCCTCTTTTTTATTCTGGAAGCTTTCCTTGTTTTATCTTTGCCATTTAAGTCCATGATCCATTTAAAGTTAATTTTTGTATATATTGTGAGGTAGAGGTCCAGGCTTATTTATTTTCCCATTTGGCTATCAAATTGCTTCAGCATTACTGAAAAGATCTTCCTTTTCCCACTGAATTGCAGTGATGTGTTTTTTATAAGTAGGTGACTACATGTCTGTGGATCTCTGCCATTCATTTTTATTATAAAATCTGTTATATATTCCAGTAAATTGTAAGTTCCAGGAAAGTTTGGACTGTGTTTATTTCTAATTTCTTTACTGCACTATACTCACTGCCTAGCACAGTACCAGGCACATATAGACATTCAAGAAATATTTGCTGATTAGATACAGAATCATAAAAGAAAATGACCAGGATGTTTGACAAGTGGTGAGGAAAGAGTAAGGCATTCCGAATTACACAGATGTTTAAATACGTGGTGAAACTGAAAGTGTTTTTGTAGAATATTCCCAGCTCTAGGTCTCACCTTCTGCTTCATCCCTCCCCCTGACTCCAGTCATAAGAATTTGTCTGGTCATATGGTTCAGCCAACTTACTGAATACCTACTGGGTGCTAGGACTTTTGCTGGGGAATTTCTTAGAGCCAGGTTTCCTCTTTGTTTCTGTGATCATCATACATATATTGTTTAGTGGATACATTTTGTGAGAATCTACGGCTCTTCTTGATTATTTTTTGACCTTTGTGTTTATATTCCATTAGGTTCAGTGAAACATAATAATATAAATTCTAAATCGAACTAGTTAAATTACATTGTTTGTCTCATTTAGATGTTAAATGATAATTTTTACCATGTCTTTGTAGAAATTGTCACAGAAGGAAAAAGGAAAAAGTCTTCATCTTCTGAGTTACATAAGGTATGCATTAGTTTTGCTTATAACTTACTTTCTTTAGAGTTACTAACATAGAAAGTATTTTGTTGTTTGCATTTTTAATAAAAATTTAAAGAAAATACTTTTATTAGTGTTTTTAGGGAAATGGTATAAACTTTCTGGGACCAGCCTTGTTTAAATCATTATAAGATGTCTTAGTATCTTTCCAGGCCTCAATTTAGATTGAATATAAAACATAATTCACCATTTCTCTGATAACTGAATATATTAAAGCACTTCACATTCATTCATTATATACTGTAGGTGTAGAAGAGTTGTACGCAAGTCATGTGCTACAAATTACTACATTTGAACCTTGAACAACACAGGGGTGTTGACCCCTTGTATATTAAAAAACTTGTATATAACTTTTGACTCCCCCAAACCTTGACTACTAATTGCCTCTACTGACCGGGAGTCTTACAATAACACAAACAACCAATTAATACATATTTTGTATGTTATGTGTAGTGATACTGTATTCTTATAATAAAGTAAGGTAGAAAAATAAATGTTTTTCAAATTGTTGCAAATCTCCAAAAATTTTTTGAATATATTTATTGAAAAAAATCTGTGTATACGTTGACGTGTGCAGTTCAAACTTGTGTTGTTCAAGAGCCACTTGTATTTGGAATATGTCCTTTTAAACCTTAAAAAAAAATTTTTTTTTAATCTATATAAGCCAAGGGTAGCAAAACTAGCAAAACGAAATATCTACCTGTAGGAAGTGTTTCAAAAACTCCATTTTTAGAAAGATAATCTTTTCCTCTATGATTTCATACAAATTCTCTTGAACCTGGATTTACATGATCATAATTTTTGACACTTTCTATGAAGCTTTTTAAGTTATGTGCAGATTACTTTAATTTGGTACATTTTTTGGAATAAAGAGGAAGAAGAAATCATAAAGGAAGGCCATGAGAAGTAATCAAGAGTACCTTATAAGAAAGAGAGAGTATGGCTTTAGGAACTCTTTTTCTACCTTGGCATACTTCAGATTTGTGTGATTTGTTTTCTTTATTCATAATTTTGGGATTTAGTTTAAGTAGGGTAAATGGAGTGAAAAAGAACATCCTACATTACTACTATACCCAGTTTTAAGTACCTCCATATTGACTACTACTTTTTTCTGTTTAATACCTCCAGTGAAGTCAAATGCTCTGCTTTAGGCTATCGCTTCAGAATCATACAGTTTAATCTGAAATTCCACCTTTAGAAATTCATACTACTGAATAAATACATTTCTCTTTCTTATTGTTAGATGTACTACAGTTTTTTTTTAACTTTTTACTTTCAAGTAACTTTAGACTTACAGAGAAGTTACAGAAATAGTACAGAGTTTCTGTCTCTCCTTCACTCAGCTTTCCCCAATGTTACTGTCATACATAGGCACAGTACATTGATCAAAAGTAACAAATTTAACATTGGTTCAATGCTTAAACTAAACTACAGACCTTATTTGGATTTTTTCACATTTTGTACTAATGTCCTTTTTCTGCTCCAGGATCCAGTTTAGGATCCCACATTGCATTGTCTTGTCATGTCTGTTGATTTCCTTTGGTGTATTTTATTTTGCGATCATGATGGTACTCTAAAAGAGTACTGTAATTTTGTCAGTATTTTGTCAAATACCTTCTCAATTTGTTTTTGTCCCAGGTTTCTTATGATTAGATTAAAGTTATGGCTTTATGGGAAGAATACAGTAATAATGTTTCCTTCTCAGTGTATCCTATAAGGGGGTACATGATATATCTTATTGCTGGTGATGTCAGTCTTGATCATCTATTTAAGATGATATCTGCCTGGTTATTCTGTTGTAAAGTTATTCCTTCTCTTTGTAATAAGTAGGTATTTTGGGAGAGAGACTTTAAATCTATGCAAATATACTGTTTCTTCTCAGCCACTTTCAGCTACTGGTTTAACATCTAGCAGTGGATCTTGCCTACGAGTTCTATATATGATATTCTATTGCTTGTATTATATTTCCCTTATTCCCTCTACATTTATTAATTAAAATTCTTCCATAAGGGAGAGCTATCCTTCCCCCCTTATTTATTTATTCAATTATTTACTTAAATCAATATGGACTCACAGGTATTTATTCTGTGGATTATAATCTACTACTATCGTTACTTGTTTTATTGACTGTAGGGGTCCAGCTCTGGCTTTGGGAGATCCTTCAGGTTGGCTACTATGACTTTTCACATGCTCCTTTATTTTTTGAGCACTTTCTTACTTCTGGGACTCAAAGATAATTTCCAAGGAGCCCTGCTTCCTTTTACTGAGGAATGGTATATAAAATCCCAGGTCTGTGTACTAGGTGTTCTCACTGCTGCTGGGGTTTCAACTTCTAGGCTTTCTCAAGAAAAGCTTCAGAATCATACAGTTTAATCTGAAATTCCACCTTTAGAAATTCATACTACTGAATAAATACATTTCTCTTTCTTATTGTTAGATGTACTACAGTTTTTTTTTAACTTTTTACTTTCAAGTAACTTTAGACTTACAGAGAAGTTACAGAAATAGTACAGAGTTTCTGTCTCTCCTTCACTCAGCTTTCCCCAATGTTACTGTCATACATAGGCACAGTACATTGATCAAAAGTAACAAATTTAACATTGGTTCAATGCTTAAACTAAACTACAGACCTTATTTGGATTTTTTCACATTTTGTACTAATGTCCTTTTTCTGCTCCAGGATCCAGTTTAGGATCCCACATTGCATTGTCTTGTCATGTCTGTTGATTTCCTTTGGTGTATTTTATTTTGCGATCATGATGGTACTCTAAAAGAGTACTGTAATTTTGTCAGTATTTTGTCAAATACCTTCTCAATTTGTTTTTGTCCCAGGTTTCTTATGATTAGATTAAAGTTATTGCTTTATGGGAAGAATACAGTAATAATGTTTCCTTCTCAGTGTATCCTGTAAGGGGGTACATGATATATCTTATTGCTGGTGATGTCAGTCTTGATCATCTATTTAAGATGATATCTGCCTGGTTATTCTGTTGTAAAGTTATTCCTTCTCTTTGTAATAAGTAGGTATTTTGGGAGAGAGACTTTAAATCTATGCAAATATACTGTTTCTTCTCAGCCACTTTCAGCTACTGGTTTAACATCTAGCAGTGGATCTTGCCTACGAGTTCTATATATGATATTCTATTGCTTGTATTATATTTCCCTTATTCCCTCTACATTTATTAATTAAAATTCTTCCATAAGGGAGAGCTATCCTTCCCCCCTTATTTATTTATTCAATTATTTACTTAAATCAATATGGACTCACAGGTATTTATTCTGTGGATTATAATCTACTACTATCGTTACTTGTTTTATTGACTGTAGGGGTCCAGCTCTGGCTTTGGGAGATCCTTCAGGTTGGCTACTATGACTTTTCACATGCTCCTTTATTTTTTGAGCACTTTCTTACTTCTGGGACTCAAAGATAATTTCCAAGGAGCCCTGCTTCCTTTTACTGAGGAATGGTATATAAAATCCCAGGTCTGTGTACTAGGTGTTCTCACTGCTGCTGGGGTTTCAACTTCTAGGCTTTCTCAAGAAAGAACACTGGAGGAATATACGTATACTAACCCATATACGTGTACACATTTCTGTGTTTATTTCTCCATCTACTTATCTGTAAACCTGAAAAAAAGCAATGAGCTCTATACTGGTACTTCTTTTTATAATTTTTATTATTAAGGTACTGATAACACAATCACATGAGCAACATTGTGGTTACTAGATTCCCTCCATTATCAAGTTTCTATCACATACCCCCTTTCAGTCACTGTCCATCAGCATAGTAAGATGCTACCGAGTCATTACTTCTCTTCTCTGTGCTATATACTTCCTTCCCCTTGCCGCCCTACATTATGTCTGCTAATCATAATGCTCCCTAATCCCCTTATTCCTCCCTTCCCACCCACCCTCCCCATCCCTTTACTTTTGGTCACTGTTGGTCCATTCTTGGTTTCTGTGAGTCTGCTGCTGTTTTGTTCCTTCAGTTCTTGCTTTGTTCGTATACTCCACAGATGAGTGAAATCATTTGATACTTGTCTTTCGGCACCTGGCTTATTTCCCTGAGCATAGTACCCTCTAGCTCCATCCATGTTGTTGCAAATGGTAAGATTTGTTTTCTTCTTATGGCTGAATAATATTCCATTGTGTATATGTACCACATCTTCTTTATCCATTTATCAACTGATGGACACTTAGGTTGCTTCCATTTCTTGGCTATTGTAAATAGAGCTATGATAAACAGAGGGGTGCATATGTCTTTCTGAATCTGGGATCCTGTATTCTTAGGGTAAATTCTTAGGAGTGGAATTCCTGGGTCAATGGTATTTCTATTTTTTGAGGAATCTCCATACTGCTTTCTACAATGGTTGAACTAATTTACATTCCCACCAGCAGTGTAGGAGGGTTCCCCTTTCTCCACATCCACGTGAACATTTGTTGTTTGTCTTTTGGATGGTGCCCATCCTGACTGGTGTGAGGTAATATCTCATTGTGATTTTAATTTGCATTTCTCTGATGATTAGTGATGTGGAGCATCTTTTCATGTGCCTGTTGGCCATCTGAATTTCTTCTTGGCAAAATGTCTGTTCAGATCCTCTGCCTATTTTTTAATTGGATTATTTGCTTTTTGTTTGTTGAGGTGCGTGAGCTCTTTATATATTTTGGATGTCAACCCTTTATCGGATATGTCGTTTATGAATATATTCTCCCATACTGTAGGATGCATTTTTGTTCTATTGATGGTGCCCTTTGCTGTACAGAAGCTTTTTAGTTTGATATAGTCCCACTTGTTCATTTTTGCTTTTGTTTCCCTTGCCCAGGGAGATATGTTCAAGAAAAAGTTACTCATGTTTATATTCAAAAGAGTTTTGCCTATGTTTTCTTCTAAGAGTTTTATGGTTTCATGACTTACATTCAGGTCTTTGATCCATTTTGAGTTTACTTTTGTATATAGAGTTAGACAA